CTTCCCGTGATGCTTCTCCGTATAGATAGTTGTCTGTAAGTGTGCATCCCGTGATGCTTCGAGAATTGGTGTCCTTCCATGATACATTTTCCATTTAAGCGATATTCATTGTTTATTTAACTGTTCCTGGTACGAATTTACGTCCATTAATACCAATGCATGCATATCCGTTACATGTCATTTGGATCTACAATGCCTCAAGTAAAGCATCATTCATCATTATTCTATAGTAGTGTATTTATGAATCGACCAGAGTTATGGCGGAAAGAAATGAATACAGTCATATCATCATCTTCGTTCACTTTTTACGTCAGATAGCATCTCGTGCTGCAGTCTTTATGTTGATTACATTCATGGAAACGGTGATTTACGCTGTGTTCATAATGGATAGTGGGATACAACAGCCTGGTCATAGCGTCATTTGCACCGATAAAGAAACTCTTTTAACGGTTGCTTAACTGGCCTTTCTGAGCAAAATTTATTTTAATTTTATTGTTGTCATTTTAGTGTTCGTATGAATTATTCATATCATAATTCGGTTATTTGAAACTGACCATTTTGGAAATGCAATTTTGCTTTTTTATCAATGCTATTAAAACACCTCAGTGTAGTTGCCTGTTTACCAAACTTCAGACACCACTGTACCTATCAATATGATTAAAACATATGTATATATGCATACTGAGAAACTAATATTAAATTTCTTTCAACAGGTTTGGTTCCAGAACCGACGAGCTCGTGCCAAGAGGACTAGACAGGCAGCGAGCAATTCGCCATCGACTGACGTCTCTAGTGATTCACTGTCTTCGTCAACTTCCTCTGGGAGCTCATCCTTTTCGCCCATCCAGAGACCTGTTCACGTGATTAAGGCTGACCCAGACAAATACACCTCGGATCTAGGACCTTACTATCCATTCCCGTACTACTACCCCGCCAGCTTCCTACCCACCGCCGGTGCCATCCCTCGACCGTTTGACGTCCCCAGTTACCACGGAGACACACTGCTTGGGGAGTTGAAGTCCCCACTGTGGTCCCCCGGAAGTCCAACCTTCAGCAAACTGTTCGAGTTTCCGCCCAAAGCCCACACGCCACTTCGTGATGCGCGCAGACGTCCTGGGTTCCCGCAGCAGGCGCACAGTGACGAGGTGTTCTCCTCCCGATCCTCAAGTGTCGACAGCCGTCAGTCAGGATCCGATGACGTCACTAACGTTTCCAACAGCAGGACCGTGCAGTACAGTTGCGTTAGGGATTTTCGCCGCTCTGAGAGACGATCTGACGAGGAGGACAGCGAACTAGTGATAGGTCGGATCGAGGACACATCAAGTGATGACGAGGACGTATTGGTGATGGACTTATCAGTACGTACCCCGGATTCCAAGATTGCTGCCTGTTGTCATGGAGATCGTTGAACTAGTGCTCGTCAAAAACTTTTGTGCTAAATGTACGCTCCGAATGCATGCATGTACGTATAGCAGTGTGCAAGCCGAACAGTAAAAAAGGCTTTATCGTTAAGTCCGTGTTTCTTCATCTATGTTTCCTTTCAAGAACAATTGGGAAGATTTCCTGCAGGAATACAAAAACATTTTTCAAAGTGACTCTTTTGTAACCAATTAGGTTATAGAAACAGGCGTGTGCTAATTACGAACATTTGTTCAAAACTGACAATACTTGAGAAAGTTTTGGGTGTGTTCTTGTTGTAAAAGCTAAATTGAGTGGCTATAGAGGAGGTAGAAACAAAATATAGATAGGATATCATTATACGCTTGATACAAAGATATGAGAGGCAAGTGCGTCGTAGATATACCAGCCTCGATGTGGAGGAGGGAAATCCAGTGCTAACTACATAATGATGTTTAAGGGACAACAAATTATGCGGTTGATTACTATTATGTATTCATAGGCAGAAAAAGGCGATTTTTTTCTCAAGTAGGTTGTCATTGTTACGTACTTCTGAAGATCGCGACAATTAAGTCACGTGTATTAAAACACGTGATCTCTCTGCACTTGATGTGATTTGTCCGATTTCTTGTTTGTTTGGAGTTCAAACAATTTCGATGTGGTTTTGAGATCGAGTAATGGCTCATAATTATTTAATGTGAATATAGCTAATAAGTACAATTAATTATTTATCGGTGTTGTATGTTGTTCTCGACTCAGTGATTAGAATAAATTGTGTATTTATCTATTTAATACGACTCACATGTACTGTTAAAAATGTCACTTAGTCATAAAATGAACTTTAAATTCAATATATGTATTGAAACGGAGCCAAAATTAAATGAATGTAATTGTATTTTGTTTTCTCTTGTTTTTCCATAGTTTTTGCACTTAGGTACACTAGACTGTTGAAAGTATGGTTAATGACGTGTATACCATACACAAGGTGGTCTAGTACTCTTTTATGTCTCAAATATATGATATAACAACCTACGATGAGACCGATACAACGATTTATTAATCCAAAAGGATAATATTTTTTGAAGGCGGAGGCAGAGAGAGACATCATTCGAAGGTTAATAAATCATTGTATACACCTCAACAGAGGTTCGTAATTGTTTTATTATATAACACTTTATATATGATATCAAATATGAAAGACTCTTTGTCCAATGGGCCATGCAGACCTTTTTCGATCTGGGCCATACAGATGTTTCTCGGGGCTGAATAAATATGAGATGACCTCATTCCCGCCTGACGATGATGACACTCATTAGAAACTAATATATACAAATATGTACCGAGGAGAAAATGGAGAAGTTAAAACCAGAAGGATCTTGTCGCACAACGTTGTAAAATCTGACCACTTCCTGGGTTCTGTTGCAAATTGAAATTTCTATTCATTCATCATATCCGTTGGATTAACACTGCATCATGATCACTGAAGCAACTTGTGAGGCATCGTCTTTTTCATTACGAGGCTGTGTGTTTACTTTGTTATACATGTGTAAATAATGCATATAAAAGGAAACGACAGAGATCTCTTGTTTCTGTCAGCCATCTATTTCTTCTTCAGCAAGAAATGAAAACCAGGAACAGGAATAAACAACAAATAAACATTTAGAAGTATCTGTACCCAACTTTTCAAAACAATTTCCCGATCAAACTTAAAATGAAATATGCGTAGATAAGAACCAAGATTAACCTTGAAAGGAAAACTTTACAAATACCCATCCCGTGATTTCTGAGAAATAGCGAAAACAAATTTTCAGAATCTAAGACGGCCGTCTGACAGCCATCTTATAAAACTAATTAAATTTAATTTGAACGTACACAACAAAGGAGAGTAAACGGGACAAACAGGAGGCTGCTTGTGAAATATGAGAAATATACCGAGAAAATCCTCCTAAAATTCAAGATGGTCGCCAGGCAACCATTTATTTTCGTGCGATCATTCTCAAACATGCTAAACTATCATAAGGATTAAGGTGAACATACTTATAAACTCCTGTACTTTTTGAGAATTAGAAGGAACATTGCATATGACGCTATCTTTTCGTTTTAAGTACTCAGTAGGGGTTAAATTTGACATGTTTAATTTGTTTTCAAGCCAGTTTAATTTTCCTGACTTAAATGAAGGCTAGTTGATGTTCAGTTTTGTTTACAAACAAAGTCTACCATCTGCCTCTTTAACTAACGAGGGACAAACAAGTGTGATGAAGTAATGTATACCGAATCCAAATACATTCTAAATTTATAACTGAAGTTTGCACAACATCCGGTGCATTCTAAAAGTAGAAACCGGAATATGTTTGATCCGGATAATTTGAAACGGAACAAAAGATCGAAGTGTTAGTCTTAGCAATGTAATTAATTCTCACGTGCGCGTCACGTAGGATATCAGACAGACGTGAACGTAATTACTCTCTATATAAGTCGCGTAGTAGTCCAATGTTTATAAAACAGAGCCTGCATATTCTGCATTTTGTCCGAATCATGGCACAGTTGATGCGATCGTGATAACGAATCGAGAACTATGACCTGTTGCATATATGCAACCCATGTTATCAAGTTACAAACGGAAACTCAAATATTTCCTACGCGTTAAGTTTAGTGAAGAACTTTTCAAAAAGTGGGTTTTAAAGATAATGAGATCTAGGTCGATATTTCTGAAATTAATATGACGATTGTGCTAGTACATGTACGTTGGTAACTGGTGCCCGAGCTATCTTCAATGTGTTATACCAACACAATTAAAGCATCGTTTTATCACAGATATTACTGGTATTTATGTCCGGAAAACCCGTAATGTTAAATTAATTTTATCAATTCTAAACCGACCTTTTGTCTCTAGTAAAGCATTTATCTATCACGATTAATTTTCAGATAAAACCTTGCTGAAAAATCACTTCGTAAAAAATGTTTTGAGTCATCAGTGGATGTTAATACAATATTTACGTCAGAAAATTATCACATGACGTTATCTTACATCAAGAAAATTAAGCTAATTCATGTACATGCATTTCTAATGTAAAAGCCTAGGTGGCAAAGTGCCAAATATTTCTCCTGCAAATTTGTCTCATAAATTGCAAACCTTGATTCACAAAAAAAAAAATCATACGTGGAACATGTTGAATCGTTTTTTGTGTCAATAGGTTCGTTTCGTTTTAAAGACATTGGTTCAACAATCTTATAAATATGAAAAAAAACACTTCAAGATACACGCTGGATTAAGATTGTCTTTATAGATGACTTTGTATTAATTAGCACAGGGATACGTCACATGCTATTTAACCGAATATACTTTACTTTATATGACGTACTGATATATTTATTATATAACACGTACCATATCCCTGTGCTGAACACAGGGTTGTCGCTAACTGCCTGGGCGTCTTCTACAGGAAGTCAAGTTAAGTAAAAAAAAAATTAAGTCGGTACGTTGTTAAACATGATAACACAATCCTGTTATTTAAAAGCTTTTACAACCGAGGAAAGCACAAACTGACTTCAAAAAACTGAATGATTTTGATAACAGTATAGTGTACTTATTCTGTATACTACGGATGTAACAGTAGGGAGTCGTGTGCCTACAACACCCGCTTATAAGTCAGCACATGGCCATGTTAAGTGGTATGTACTTACACTGTGGTCACTTCAGCAAGGACGAAACATTGAAACAATGATACACACAATTAATTTAAGCCTCACCCTTCACGATTTCTTTGTTTCTCTTATATAAAAAGAGAGTAATAGTTTGGTACAGGAAATGGTGACAAAAATACATCAATAAATCACATGTTCTCAAAGTACTTTTACCAAACCTGCACTGGATTTGCCAAATAGACCAATGTTCAACTTCTAAGTAATTCCCTTTTCATGCAAAAGTGCACCAAATTCACTAGCTTGTTTGATGGGTTTAAGATATTTTTCAGTCTTTAGCATATGGACGTCATTCGTTTTTAAATTTATATGTTAAATGAAAAAAGAAATAGAAAAAAGAAGTGGAAGAAAAATGAAAAATGAGAAAAAAAAAAGAAAGACAAAATGATGATATAAAGTAAATAGATATTTAAATAAAAGAAAAGAAAGAAATAAACAAAAATTTAAACAAAAGTTCTATCTGAGTGTTTTCTGCGCAGTTTATTTAAACGTGTACAATGCTTCAATGTTTATCAATAAATGACAAGTGTTTTGTTTTGGTGCAAAGCCGATACATACTTGAAATCATGACGGGTGTTTATTCGGTCAGTCGATTACCAAACGATAAAAGTTATTATGTGAAAAGTAAACACAATTCTGGCAAATTATCACGGATGGTTATCCAATTGGGATCACGCGCATGACTTAATTGTAACTGCGCAGTTGATTTGCACTGAAGTGACGACATTCGGTTGAGGACGAAATGCCCTTAGATTCATTTCTGATTTGGAGCCGATATTAGATAGCATTTTCATCAGGGAATATTTTCCTTTAATCCATCGAGTATGTACATTGTGCTAACCTTTACTTTTCAAATTGTTTTAGTAACTGCGATATAATGCAAAGGAGCTTAAAAGAAACAAAAGCAGCTAACATTTGAGTGCTATTTGAGTGTCTGCTCAGCGATACAGTCGTCGCTTTCCCAATAACCTCAGCTAAAAAAGCTATCCGTATGAATTTGAAACCTTCTTTTTACAGGCATAGCAATAATTTAAATATTTCACATCTGAAAATAAACACATTACCTCATTGAAGAATAATAAAAAATAAAAATGAGTAAATAAATATATAAACATTTTTCTGGGAGTAAAATGTAATAGAGCAAAAACTGGATACAGTTATATCCCAAAGGAAATGTGTGTCAGTATACTTCTGAAAATCTGGCATACACAACAAGCGTCATATCTAGGCATAATCGACATCATATACATATTATTAT